AGGTGATGGTAATCAGGACTTGGCGCCTGAGAGCCTGATCCCACAGCTGACCAGAAGGCAGGACTGGGCCTCCACACTGGTGGGGTCAGGGGCAGCAATGACCATTCTGCAGACCTGGGGGGACTGGGCAGTTGGGCAGACAGAGCTGCTCAAGTGTGAAGGGGACAAAGAGTTGATGCAGGACTGAGTGGGGAAGGACTGAGACCTCAGCTGGGAGCACTGAAGGGGAGGTAATGGAATGTTCGCAGGGAAAAGGCTGGATTCTGCAGAGGAAACGCTCTGGCGCACTGACTCAGCTGCAGCCACTAAGCAGGCTGTGTGCCTCCTGCCGGCCCTCATCTCGCAGCTCCCACCTCCAGGAATAAGGCTCTCTCCTCATGTCCACCTGCCCTCCCTCACCTGTGCTCCTTCATGGTCCACTCTACATGAAGGGGCTCTGGGTCCCTGTCCTGCACTGCAGGGAGGGGAGGGGGGGCTGAGTTCCCCACAGACAGCAGCATGGTGTCCTGAGGAGGGTGGGGAAGGTCAGGGAGGTCCTCACCCTCCCACCTCCTGGGTCCTAATCTGAAGTTGATGGCAGAGCCCGACACCACCTGCTCCCTCAGGTCCTGAGAGAACCTCCCTCACCACCCTGAGCAGACACCTCCTTCAGTGCCATTATTTGGACACTTTCTTCTTTTTATGGGGGCCAGCTGCTTTCAGGCCCTTAGGGAACATGTGACTCTCTGTGTACAGGGATGAGTAACAGAAATGGGCAGAGCACTTGCTTTACTGTTCACAGAAGATGGTCTAGCTTAACCTTTGAAAGCTTAAAATCATAGGAGTGTCTACATAAAATCAACATTTTCAGATAAAACATGAAGGTGGCTTTCACCATTTCTTTAAGAGCACAACTGCCAAAAGGACATTAATAATGAACTAGATGTATATGCATCAGTTACTGGTAAAACAAACTTATTTGTTTGTCCTTAATAGAGCATTCCAGTGGATTACCTTCATTCAGTGGGGAAGGACTGAGGCCTCAGCTGGGAGCACTGAAGGGGAGGAAGGGATTTCCTTTCAGTCAGTATGTCTTCTCACCATCCTGAAGCAGCTGGCTATCTATAACTGTTGTGACTGTTTAAATATCAAACACAAGACTAGAGGCAGCTCTGGACCCATCTCCCAGAACCAACTACCTGCGACCATGTTCTTGGGGTACTGCTAAACCCTGATGTCTCCGTGTCTGCCACGTACCTGCCTGGTCAGTCCTAAGCACCATCCTACAGCCCCCAGTCACCAGAATCCTGCCCACCTCACTTCGGGCTCATCCAAGACCTTGGGACCTTCTGGAAGACGAATGTCTGCACCAAGGCACCCACCCCTTGACCTGCTCCTCCAGGTCAGGGTCAACAGCAGAAGTGAGGGTCCTGTGCCTGCCATTCCAGGCATATGGCAGCCACCTAGGCTTGGAGGCACTTTCCAATGCATGGCTCTAATCCCACAACCCAGCCCTATTCTCCAATGCTGGGAGGGTTACTAGAGTCAGAGGGTTTGGTCTGCTCCGCACCAGGAGCAGAGTGTGGGACCTTAAGCGCACTCTTCTGAGAACAGAGGCCGATCCCTGTCCTCGGGTGAGGCACCCAGATCAGTAGGGCTGCCACCATCAGAGGACCACTCAGACCTCAGTACCAGGGAGACCGTGCGGAACACTCAGGAGCCCGAGGTTTGACCAGGAACCTCTCTTCTTCAGAGGCCATTGGTGATGAAGCCCCAGATGGGAAATGGGGGAAGTCCTTTCCTTGTGCCCTGAGGGGTCTCTGAGCAGAAGCCTTCACCCCTGTAGGGAGGATGACACCCAAACTGCTGTGGGACCACACCCGCCCAGGCCCCAAACCTCAGCTGGTTGAGAACTCAACTCCAGGGCCTTAGGCCTGACCTGAGTCTGCAGTATTGGCCACAAGGGGGGACCATTTTCTACTAAGGACACCCACCTGCCAAGTCCCCCACAACCACCCTGAAGTATAGCACTGCCAGGCACCTCTGGAGACTCCAGTCCCAGCTGCTTTCACCTGCTGGGCCTGCATCTCACCATCTCACCACCAGGGGTCACTGACAACCATGGGCCCCCTCACCAGCTCCTACTGACAGGACTACCTACCTCCCAGACTCCTATCCTTCTCCTGTGCAGCCCTCCAAGAAAAGAATTTGTTTGGAATCATGAGATCTCAGCCACCTGCATCCTGCTCTGTACTTCCTGTGGGCACTCTGCTCCTCCCATATACCAGTAGAATCCACTTTGGGGCCCCTCAAAAGAAGACTGGAAGCCGCTTGTCATCTCCATCCAGTCCCAGCTACAACACCTCCCAGCCCTGCCCCCCCCCTCCTCAACACCTCAGCCCCCACCTTTGCCACCCCAAGGGCATCACACCCACAGTGGCCTGTGTCCCCATCGCACCAACCCCAGCTCAGACCTCAGCTGCCGCAGCCTCTTCTAGATCTGTAAACCGAGCACTCCCAGGTTCCTGCCTCAGCCATCGAGGAGGTAGTGCTCACCACAGGGCTCCTCACCCATCTGTCTGCTGGAGGCCCAAGGCCTCTGTGCGAACCCAGGACGAGGCCAGACAGGACCCCTTTGGATATGAACTCTCCTCCTGGGCACACTGGAGAGAGTCGTTCCTTTCAAAAGATTTGCCATCTCCCTGCCTGCCCCCTCCTTCCTGCCTTCTTCCTGAGGAGCACACTTGCCAGAAAGACTCACCTTCCCCACCTCCCCATTTGTACATGGACAGTCTCAGCCAACAGACATGAGAGAGGTCTCCCTGAAATTGTCCCCTGTGGACCAGGGAGCCCACAGCCACATGACCTTCCACCAACATCTTTATTCCCAGGACATGGTGAACACCTCTCCCTTCACACCCAGGAACTGTAAGACCTTCTGAGACACCCAGGCCAGGAAGTAGGGGCCTGGCTGCTGGCATCTGGAGATAGAAGGTAGGTCCCCTTTCAGTCATCACCCAGCTTGCCCGCTTCTCACCCCAGAGTCCTCTCTGTGGCCTTCCTGCTGGGAGGAAATCCAACCTTCACAGAGCATTTGAGAACTCGGGGAAGACCCAGTGTCACCGGACAAACAGTGGATCCAAGCTGCCTGTCACTACCTGAGCCAATGAAGCAGAAACACTCTGGAATCATATGAGTGTTTATTCCAGTGCTGCCGGCAGCATGGAGAGCAGCAGGTCAGCCACAGAAATCTGCGCTGCACCGCGCCACAAGCCAGTTGCTTATATAACAAAAGCACAAAGGAAAAGTAGGCAAAAAAGCAGTTTACAGACATGCAAAAGGACTAGGGGTCTTCAAAGGGCTTAGTGATATGCAAAGGCTGGGGTTACATGGGAAGTAGCCAAAGCAAGTGCCAGATGGGCAGTTAACAGGTAAGCAGGATGGAGGTGTGCAAAGGCCTGCAGGTGTGCACAGTGGGCTGGGGGATCTCCAAAGGGCTGGGATTCTAGTTTCTGCAGCAAAGTTGTTCATCTTTCCATGGTAATGGGCAGCTCCAAATGGGGAGGAAGCGCTGCTCCAGGTCAGCTCCAGCCAGGGTAGAAGGTGCCTTCTTTAATCAGAATAAAACAATCATGGTTAACAGAGCGTGATTAATATTTCTTATAAGACTAGTTGGTTCCCCAAATTCTATGGCTGCCCCCTTTCACCAGTGCCCAGCTGGGCTGAGTGTTACAAATGGAAAAAAATCCCCAGGTTAGGGGAGCAGAGGGGCTATCTGAGTGGTGCTGACAGACCCAAGACCAGGACACAGCAGGGGCAAATGCTGGCGTGATGGGGTCATCCTCTCAGGTGAAGGGGTCTCCATCAGCCTTGCTATGCAATTGTGCTCCGATGCTCTCATAATTTTTAAACAAACAAATTTAGATGTTTACAAAAAATGGCAAGTGAAACACGCTCATGGATTTATTAATAAGCATTGGATTTTCATTTCTGTGTTTTGTGGACTGCTGTATGCCCAGCTATACTACTTGGGAGAGCAGAATAAGCTCAATAAATATGTGATAAATGACAACAACAACAAAAAAAAGACAATGGGCTCTACAGGCCAGTAAGATCCACCTCCCCTGAGGGCTTGTTAGATGCAGTCTCTGGTCCACTGCACACTTACTGAGTCAGAATCTGCATTTGTCTTCGGCTTCTTTATTTTATGTTTTTTAATTGACTGGTTTTAGAGAGGAAGGGAGTGTGAGAGAAACATTGATTTGTTGTTCCACTCATTTAAGCATTTAATGGTAGATCCGTGCAGGTGCCCTTGGCTTATCAGGAGGAAGCTCTAACCAACTGAGCTCCCCAGCCAAGGCTCTCAGAATCTGCCTTTGAACAGGATCTGCAGACACTCCTGTGCACAGGAGAGGGGCAGGGCTGCCACAACCCCAGTTCACAGCCTGGCGGGCATCCACGTTAGCTGGGCAGCCGATAAGCAGCATTTCTACAGTGTCCTGTAGGCATCACCATCTTTACCACCGTCCACAGGTGATCTGATGCACAAGAGGTTGACATCCCTGTGACAAGAGTTCTTCATGTCACCCCAGGGCTCCTGCTCAGAAACAGAAGTCCAGAAGGAATAAGAGAGGCCCCAGGGGGCGCTACTGGGCACTCAACTTGAGCTCTAGGGAATTCCCCCCACCCCCACCCCCACCTCCATGTCCAAGACTCAAGCTTATCTCAAAAGGAAATGCGTCTATCGGGGTGGAGGGGGTGGAGAATCACTGAGGAAACAGAGGTCTCATCAATTCCCAGGATCTGACATTTAGCTGGAAGGTAACCAGGAAGGTGGGAGGGGGAGGTGGAAAGGAGGGTAGGACATAGGAAGGGACCTGGGCACAGACCCCGCCCCCTGCCCATGTGACCAGGGAAGTGCTCTTGTCCCAGAGGAGGCTCAGCAGGTCCCACCAGCAGGGAGAGCGGTGCCTGTGAGTGCTTCTGGACCTCAAGCTCTTCTCACAGAGGGAGGGACGGAAATGGAGTCCGCCTCAGCCCCTGCGCACAGAGGGTGCGTCCTCCGGCAGGGGCTCCTGCTGGCCGGTAAGGAGGGGATAAATCCTGGGGGTGGACAGGAAAAGGGGAAACGGAGACTGGCTCAGGGTCTCCTGGGGAGCACAGTGCTCTGAGAGGGGACAGAGGGCCTCTGTTTGGACCTGAGGGAAGAGGACAGGGGAGCAGAGTAGGGTGGGGGAGGGGGCTCAGCAGCAGGACACTCCCATGATCTGGAGGTGGTGAGGGGCAGGAAAACCTCGATTATGGTAAGTTTTACAAGTTATTCATCACTGAAATTGTTCCTGAAAACTGATTATAATAATATCTATTTGTGTCACGGTGATATAAGAAAAAATGAACAGGGGCACTAAGCGTTGTCTTTACCACCAACCTCAGAGCTGAGTACATGCACCCCAGTGGGTGCAGGACCCAGGGAGCACTCATTCATTCACCCACAGGCACTACAGCCTGCTGCAGGCCCTGGGGGTACAACAGATCAGACAAATCCCTTCCCCCATGGAGCTCACTTACAGTGGAGAGGAGACACACAAGGAAACATCCAGATGTGAGGTCAGGGACCCACAAGTGCCATGAGGAAAACAGAACAGGGACAGGTCAGAAAGTGGAGACACAGGTCTATAGTGTCAACAGGGGTCTGAGCAGTGCCTGTGAGCATTTCTGACTTCAGGATCCAGGAGCCAGGCAGGCACCTGGGAATTTTTAAACAGGAAATAAGGTCAGAGGTGCTGAAGTATTGCTGGCCATGCTGCTGCACTTGACCGCAGGAAATACACTCACACACACATTCTCAGACCAAGGCTGAGAGATGAAGAGACCCGCTAGGACCCAGGGCTCATCTCTCCTTCCCAATACAGAGCTCCAAATCTTGATCAATTTCTCTCTTTCCTCCTAGCCTCACTCCTAACCCTCTGGAGCCTGCCCACCACTGCCCAGCTCACTATTGAGTCAGTGCCGCCCAATGCCGCCGAAGGGAAGGATGTGCTTCTCCGTGTCCACAACCTGCCTGGGAATCTAATGGGCTATATGTGGTACAAAGGGGAAAAAGTGGACGGTGATATTCAAATTGTATCATATGCGATAGACACTCAAACAACTATTCTCGGCCCTGCATACAGCCATCGAGAGACAATATACCCCAATGGATCCCTGCTGTTCCAGAAAGTCACCCTGCAGGACACAGGATACTACACCCTACAAGCCATAGACAAAGATTTTCGGAGCAAAAGAGTAACTGGACAGCTCCGTGTTTACCGTGAGTGATTGCTCTCTGACCTCTGGGTGTCGGGTGGGGTATATTCTACTTCACAAACAGGACTGACAGCCCTGGACTTTGCTCCATCCCCCTCTGCCTCACATTCCAGGTTGGGTTTGGGCATTTAGTGCAGGACACACACAGTGGAGACACTCTTCTTAAGGTCAGAGTTCCCTTCCCGGATTCCAGCCCTGCAGACATTCTCCACAGAGAGAAGGGCCCGTCTGATGGGAGTGACTCAGCAGAGGGAGACCAGTCTCAGTCCAGGCAACTGGGTCCCTCCCCATGACCCAGAGAACAACCCTGCAGGACTCATGCAGGGCCTGGCCTGGGGGATCCTTACAGACAAGTTCAACCCAGGTGGTCCCTCCCCAGACCTCTGTCCATGGCTCCTGACTCCAGGGAACCTGAGGAGCCTCTGGGTGATTGAGTTTGAACTGTGGGCAGGGCTGAGTGGCAGCAACAATTTCCCAGGTACCCATGTCACAAGGTTGCTGAGGTAGTCACCGCCAGGGCTCAGCCTCAAGAGCCACATCTGGGGAGGGATGGAGCCTGCTCCTTCACCTGAGACCATGCGTGGGGAGTATGTGGACAAGGTCCCCAGGCCTTTAGCCAACTGCCCTGGGGGACATAGGAAGGAAGAGGAACATGGTCTCCCCAGGGAGGGCAAGAGAAGATGTTCCTCGAAGCTCCTAGTCCACCAGGGATCTGCCCACGGCATCCTCTCTCACAGACACAAAGAACAACAGAGGCTGTCAAGTTAACAGTTAAGTAGCCCCTCTATTCCAAGCTTTAGGTTAGGAAACTGTGAAAGATTTAAGGTTCATTCACAGGCAGCATGGCAAACCTGAGACCATTTACCATTTATCCTGTTTCGTTCAGGGAAAACTGAGTTTCAGGAAGATACAGTCACTCAATCAGAATCACACAGACTGTGACTGACCAACGTGAGTCATGCCAAGGCCTCTCCTCCACTCCAAGGGCCTTATTATGCTCACTTCACCCCTGACTCCTGACTCACATCCTCGTCCTGGTGTGAGGCTCCCATTCTTCCCAGTGGCTCCGGGGACCTTCCCAAGGTGGGCCTGGTGACCCTGCACCATCTGACTGGTTCACTGCCTGTTTCACACACATGTTCTCATGATGACACCTTGACCACAGGGTGGGATCCTCTCAGATGGTGAGATCCACCAGCAACTCTCCTTTCTCTCAGATGCGCCCATTTGAATGAATTTGACTAAACTCCGGTTGTTTCCTGAGTTAGAAGGAAAAGGAAGAGCATATGCCACAGGCCCATGTGGGGGCTCCTCCCCATCTGCCTGACTGTCCATAGAAACAGGGAGGGACCGTCTTCCTAACTTTACTAACATGACACATGTCCTTTCTCCCAAACTGGTGTCATCCCTCCCTGTACACAGCACAGACACCTGGACTCACATCCCGGTCACTTCTCTTCTCAGGACTCACTTTCTCTCTATCCCAGGGAGTCCCTGATTTCAAACCCACTGAGGCATCTACTTTTGGTCACAGTGTGACCTGATTGGACGGCAGAACTGGGTCTATGACCTTCGTGCTCTCTAGACAGAGATTCCTGCAAAAAATGGCATTAGATCTTCCGGGCATGAGTGATTTTCACATATTCTTTCACAGTTTAACTCAAAATCTATCTCGTAACTGCCAAACACAAATGGTCCACGAGGGCCATATTTTCAGCAAGTTCATGTTCCCCCACCTCCACAAGCCCGGCTTCTGTATGTGCTATTGTCTGCGTGTTGAGGAAAGATCCCTGCCCTCTGCAGTGGCAGAAAGGACATTAAAGACCAAGGGCAGAGAGCCTGGCTCTACTGCCACCGCCAGCCAGCTCCCGCCATCCCGCACTCTTTTCTAAATCATTCCTGGACTCTGCTCTGCCCTTTCTGGGGTCACTGTCTCATGTCAGTCACCAGTGAGCTCCTGGGCAGACGGCCACACCTCGTGGCCCTGCAGCCTGGGTACTAAACTCACCACCAGACTTGCTTCTGGTCTCCTGTGTATTGTTTCTGCTCAGACACCCAGTTCCAGGACATCCTGCCCAGTCCTCTCGAGGTTTAAGGACTGTGGGGTGGCCCATCATTACTCATCTCTAGGTTAACCCTGCAATGTGAGGCTTCAGTGGAAACACATCTCCACCCGGCAACATAGGTCTGTGTAGCTGGAAGGGACTCAGCACCTGCACATTCCAGTGGAGGCCCAAGGTCAGCCAGGCAGTCAGCTGATCAGTGAGGAACCAGGGCAGGTGCCGGGTGGTCTCTGACTCCCAGTCCTGCGTCTCTCTGTGATGAAACATAAGAGTTATCTGAGCCCTGAGAGTCTGTGCTTTTTCTCCCAGACATAGAGCAGGCGGCCTTACATCTTCTGTGCGCTCAGCTCCTCATGCATTTGTTTGTCTTGTGATGCACAGACCTGCTTTATTCTTTTAAAAACTCAGGTTGGCTGAGAGGCAAGAGGTGTCAACTCTGACGAAAGAAGCCTTTAGAGCAGCGGTTCTCAACCTGTGGGTCGCGACCCCTTCACAGTCAGTCATCTCCTCTGTTCTCCACAGAGCCAGTGGGGAAGCCCGCCCTCCGAGCCAGCAATGCCACAGCCACAGAGCATAACGTCGCCGTGGTCCTGACCTGCCTCACAAATGACAGGGGCATCTCCATCCGGTGGCTCTTCAAGAACCAGATTCTACCTCACAAGCACAGGATGAAGCTGTCCCAGGACAACAGCATCCTCACCATAGACCCCGTCAGGAGGGAGGATGCTGGGGGTTTTCAGTGTGAGGTCTTCAACCCTATCAGTTCCAGCAAAAGTGACCCTCTCGAGCTGGATGTACAATGTAAGTGACCCCTTGCCCCATCCTACGTCTCCCTGGGAGGATTGCTCTACCAATGGTGTGAAAAATGGACAGAAGTCACAGGGGCAGAATGTCAATCAGGAGACATTACAGTAAACAGAATGGCAAAGTGGTTAAGAGCTCAGTTTCCGACCCTGGGTCTGGCATTCACTGTGACCTTGCGCAAGGTTGTTTTTTATGCTCATTTTTTATGTGGTAAACTATACACAAAATTTACCATTTTAACTTTTAAGTGTACACCTCAGTGGCATTAAGTGCATTCACATTGTTATGCAATCATTACCACTATCTGTTAGGAACGTTTTCATCTTGCCACACTAAAACTCTGTACCCATTAAACAATAGCTCTCCAATCCCCAATCCCAACCCCTGGAAACCATCATTCTGTTTCTATTAATATGACTACTCTAGGTACTTCATATAAGTGGAATCATATGATATTTATCCTTTTGTGTCTGGCTTTTTTCACATAGCATAATGTCTTCAAGTTTCATCCATATTATAGCATATTTCACAATTTCATTCCTTGTTAAGGCTGAATAATATTCCATTGCATCCATCATCTGTCCATGAATTCTGTGTTGTTTCTACCTTTTGTCTGTTGTGAATAATGCTGCTATGAACAAGGGTGTACAAATATCTGTTCAAATCCCTGCTTTCAATTCTTTTGAGTATTTACCCAGAAGTAGAATTACTGGATCAAATAGTAGTTTTTGTTTAATTTCTTGATGAACCGCTGTGCCATTTTCCATAGTGGCTGCACCATTA